ATGGGCACACAGTCAGCCCAGAGGGGCTCAGGGGCTGGGGGTCGGACCAAGGAGCGACACTGGACGAAGGGGGAGAGTGTGGAGGGGCAGCGGCAGCAGGGTCCTGCTCGCTGAGGAGCTTCTGCTTTTCTGATTGTAGAGGAGTATCATCTCCCTCGGAAACACATCCAAGGCCTAGAAAAGGCCCCCAAGCCTGGCAAGAAGAAGTGACAGACCGTGTCGTGCGGTGGATCCCGTGGATATCCAGGCTCAGGGCTGGTCATTTATACGAGCAGTTCCAGCTTTTGCAAATAAAAAATATACTTCTTTACCAAATAAAATTTTTATTCTAATCTAAGTCAGATTTCTGTCTTGTTTCCTTCTCTTTGCTAAGATGTTGTACTGACTTTTCTTTTTTCTTAATTACTATTTTTAATTTGCTATAGGGTATGTGCTCACTCACCAGAGAAAGAGAGACTGAGAGAAAGAAAGAAAGCAAGCCACCAGGTCCAGGACTCAAACTCTGGTCAGCCATGTGGGAGTCCAGCGTCTTAACCACCACACCACCTGTTGGCCCCATATTGTACCTTCTTTTAAAGTCTGAAGCATTTTAACTTGGCAGGGACGTGAGGCTGCGGTGGAGAGCCCCTCCAGTCCTGTGGTCTCAGTGGCTTAGTTCCTCCCCTGCTTTCAAGGCAGGACAGGGGTGGCCTTCCTGTTTTTAAAGCCCTCCTACCAAATTTCCACAGCTTCTTGCTCATTTGTTCCTGCTACCTAATTCACCTCCTAACCCAAAAATGGTTCCTGTACACTTCTCAGATTGGTCATAGAAAACACAACCCAGCTCTCTATCAGTAGTCAAGGCAACAGAACTGGCCCTAGGTTGCAGTGGAATTTAGGCCAGATCAAAAAAGAAACAATAAAAACCTATCAGGACATGGGTTTCTAAAGTGTTTCTTCCCTAATTTTAGCACACTGCCACTAGTGTGATGTAGCTTTCTGTTTTTGTTTTCTCTTTAAAAAAATATTTATATGTTATTTATTTTTTTAACTTGACTAGAGAGAGGGAGAGAAAGGGAAAGTGAGAAAGCAAGCTGCCGGGACCGGGACTCGAAGTGTGGTCAGCCATGTGGGAGTCCAGCACCTTACACACCACGACACCTGCCAGCCCATTTTTGTTTTTCTAACTTACCAGAGGGCACCTGTGCTTGCCAGAGAGAAAGGGAAAAAGCATCCCTGCATGGGTCATAGTCACATTACAAGCCCTTCTCCATCTCTCCCTCCTTTTGAGATTTTGGGCGTGCCCACACACACATCTGGCATGGAAAGGATCTTTAGTTGGTCTTCAGAGGGTCTGGGAACTCTGAAATGGTGCACAAGATTTTGTGTGGTCATTTTCCTAAGAAGGAAACCACGCTATTCTCAGAATTCCCAGAGGGAATCTATCACCTCTCCTGATTGAAGAAAAGAGAACCTTTTCTCCAGTACCTCCTCTGTGGACATTTCTGTGATCACAGCTGTCAGGAGGGGAAGGGCTGGACTAAATTTTTTTTTTCTCTTTTTTTTGGAGAGGTTTTTGCTATAGGGCGCGTGAGCTCGCCAGAAAGAGAGAGACAGAGAGACGGAAAGTGAGAAATCACCCCCTGGGGGGCGATGGCCACACCGCAGTCCCTTTTCCTCCATTCTCTTCCTAGGATCCTGGGCACGCACGCACACTCACCCAGCGTGAGTTTAAGCCTCCAGGTCTGGGACTCAAACCGCAGCCGACTACGTGGGAGTCCAGCAACATAGCCATTATACTAACAGGTGGTCCCTGGACTAAATTTTTGTAGATTTCTTGGGTTTTACCATCAAGAAGTAATTACATGTCAATTTACTTTTTCTTTTTCATCTCATTTTTTAAAAATTGAGATTGGGGCCAGCAGGTGGCATGGTGGTTAAGGCGCTAGATTCCCATGTGGCTGACTGGTTCGAGCCCTAAACCCAGCATCTTGAAAATCATGCCGGGTGCATATTTAGGCATACCCAAAATCCCAAGAAGAGAATGGACTGTGGTGTGGCCATTCCCTCTGGGGGATGATTTCTCTCTATGAGCGCACACATCCTAAGAAAAAAATCTTAAAAAAAAAAAAAAAAAACACACATCTTAAGGAAAAAATCTTAAAAAAAAAAAAAAAAGATAAAAGGCTTGCAAATATCCACAAATTGCCTATCTGAGGCTTAAAAAGAAGAAAGGGATGGGTGTGAAAATTTGTGTAGTGCCACCTACCTTTCGTCACAGGTTTGGAATAGGCTTTTCCACTTAAAATCCATGAGTCCTACCTCTACTGACATGAGCATGGGGAACTTGTAAAGGAATTTTTAGAAATTGACCTCCCGGGCCAGCAGGTGGCGTAGTGTTTGTGTCACTGGACTCCCACATGGCTGACCATGATTTGAATCTCAGACCCAGTAGCTTGGGGCTCACGCTGGGCATATATGAGTGCATTCCGAAAATCCAGAGAAGAAATGGAGAAGAGATTGCAGGGTGGCCATACCTTCTGGGAGTGATTTCTCACTTCTCTCTCACTATCTGTGTCTCCAGCGAGCACATGTCTTATAGCAAAAACCTCTAAAAAGGGAAAGAAATTGACCCCCAACAGGATCCCATTACAGCAAAGCCTTTGCACAGTCAGTCTGATCTGATGGAGTAGCACATGTAGGGTCGTGATGAATGAAACATGGTCCATACGTGCATACAAATAGCATGTTCTCTACAAAGCTCTTTCACAAACATGATTTGTTTTGCACAGTCTTGCAGGGATTAGAGGCTCAGAGAGGTTGAGTCTTGCCTTGTTAATCCTGGCTAAAGGCAAAGCCAGTAAGTGGTGGGTCTGGGTCTAAAAAGGACATCTCCTAACTGGTTTAACCCAGAGACTGCTACGACGCAGCACTGTCCAGACCTGTGCTCTGGATGGTTTTTCCAGGAATGGTGACACATTTGCACTGAGTCATCTTTCTTCTGCCCCTTGTGAACAGCACCAGGACATGTAGGAGGGCAGGGTAGTCAGACTGGACAATGGATTCTACCATGTACTAAGCTAAATATTCTACAGCAAGGTCAAACGCCCAACTTTGAACTTACTGAGTTGTAATAAAACCCAGAGACTATAATAGGTTATTTCCAGGCACTGGTAGTCACACTTCCTGGACATCTAGGTGAACAAATGCTACAGATGTGTCCCATTCTTGGGTGATTTTAAGAACGTCTATTGGTTAGGATGCTCTCTCCTACAAGGAGGTATGGGCTGCACTGGGTGGGCTCTAAAGAGCCTCTGCAGCCCAAAGGCCCCATTCACTGCCTATGTGATCAATACCGAAGGCCCACAAGTTTTACATTTTTTTTCCAGGGCATACATGCAGTCACCAGAGAGGGACAGGGTAGCAGGGCTGGGGGACAGTTGTGCCACAATCCCTTCCTCATTTCCTTTCTTTCCGGATTTTGGGCATGCATGCACTGTGGTGTTTTTCGAACTCCTGGGTCCAGTACTCTGCATAGTCAGCCATGTGGGATCCACCCACTTTATCCACCATGCTACTGGTGGGCCCTTAGTAATTAAAAAAAAAAAAAATGGAACCTGCAGATGATATAATGGTTATGTAGCTGGATTACTGCATAGTTCACTGTGGTTCGAGTCCCAAACCTGGCGGCTTAAAAACACGCTGGATGCACATGTGGGTGTCCAAAGTCCCAAGAGGAAAATGAACTGAGGCATGGCCATTCCCCCTGGGGTGGGGGAGGTCATTTCTCGCTGTCTCTGTCTCTCTGGCGAGGGCATGTGCACTATAGCAAAAATCTCTCTAAAAAAAAATTTCTTCTGAGCGAGAAAGAGTGAGTGCACCCCCAACAGGATCCTGGCACTGCAATCCCCCCCACCCCCCGCTTTAGTACTCCTCGTCTCCTGTGCATGTGTGCCCCGCACACGTGGGTGGTCTCAGGACTTGAATTTGGGAGCCCCCCATGTGGCCCAGCCTCTCAGAGCGTCTTATCTCACCACTGCACCATGGGCCGTCCCTCTCCGATAACTTTCATGTGGTTATTTCCACAAGTACTGGGACGTTCCTTTTTTGGAGGATCAGTCCTCTCGTCCACTTCTCATCTGCCAGGAGAAGTTACCAGAAGTCCAAAGACACATTTCTATCCATTTTATTTTTAAATAATGCCAGAACTAGCAGACTCTCTGCTCACCTAAGTGGCCTGTCCTGGTGTTGAATCATCCTCCGCTCTGGAAAGACCCTCTTTTCTCATTCGGTATCTCCTGTTGTAGGTCCCCATTGCTCTGCAGCTCCGTGGAGGTGTGACAGAAACGGCCTGTCCCCTAGGCAGTACGAGGTGCTGTACTAGTACTAGGTATCTAGCTCGTGCATTTGGACAATTTCCTCAACATTATGTCAACGGCGGCTTTCAGTCCTCTGCTCATGGCCAGAAGAAACCAGACTGCCAAGGCATGTGAGGTCATGGCCATGCCCACCGCCTCCCCGGCTCCCGATTTCCATACGACGGTGGAGTGCAAGGAGACGTTTCCACTACGAATCATTTTTGCAACGAGCTTTTATTACTTTCTGAAAACCCATATAAGAAAGACACTTAAAAAGAAAATATCCTCACCACGAACACTTGCACACTGAGCGACACGACCAGAGAAGGCACTACCAGCAGTTACACCCACCTCTGCGGGGGAAGGGGCGCACGACACAGCCTTGTTTCGGAGGGGCAGACCTCTGCAGAGTCCTGGGTCTAACTGTGCTTTAGACAAACTGAACTCTCATTGTTTTCTTTGTTCATAAACACCCTTATCTCTGTATATATAGCTATATGCCTTTATGTGTATGTATATATATATATATACATGACTTTTTTTTTTCCTTCTCAAAAATAAAATAGATACCCCCTGAGGGAGGTTCTCAGCAGCATTAACAGCGGTTGCAGCAGGAGCCATGCCTTCTTAATGTTAGAGACATGCAGGAGGAGGGAAAAGGACTCTCTACCTGCCCTTTTAATACACAGCAGGGAGAGGAGCTTTTTATAAGCGAGGGTAGTGATAAGGCTGGGCATGAGATGGCAAGTAACCAGGGATTCTGTGGTTTAAAAATCTTTTCAAGTTGCTACTTTCCATTGCTTTTGCAGCTCTGAAGACTCGCATAGTTTGAGTGACAAGGGATCCGCATTCCTCCCAGGACCGGGGTGGTGTGGGCTAAGCATCGGTCAGGGAGGGGACTTGGAGACCACACAAAGAAGCTGGGGCTTGAACTAACCCGAGGACTTGGGAAGGCAGAGGACAGCAAAGAAATAGTCTTTCAGAGGCCAGATGGGAAAACTGGCCCTGCTTTGAGAAATACAAGTCCTTTCTCTGCATGGGAGAGTCTTTGCCATCTTGCCCACTTGCTAGAATTGTCTGGCTAATTTAAATTTGACTCCATGTAAGGAAAAACACGCTGGATGCACATGTGGGGGTCCAAAGTCCCAAGAGGAAAATGAACTGAGGCATGGCCATTCCCCCTGGGGTGGGGGAGGTCATTTCTCGCTGTCTCTGTCTCTCTGGCGAGGGCATGTGCACTATAGCAAAAATCTCTCTAAAAAAAAATTTCTTCTGAGCGAGAAAGAGTGAGTGCACCCCCAACAGGATCCTGGCACTGCAATCCCCCCCACCCCCCGCTTTAGTACTCCTCGTCTCCTGTGCATGTGTGCCCCGCACACGTGGGTGGTCTCAGGACTTGAATTTGGGAGCCCCCCATGTGGCCCAGCCTCTCAGAGCGTCTTATCTCACCACTGCACCATGGGCCGTCCCTCTCCGATAACTTTCATGTGGTTATTTCCACAAGTACTGGGACGTTCCTTTGTTGGAGGATCAGTCCTCTCGTCCACTTCTCATCTGCCAGGAGAAGTTACCAGAAGTCCAAAGACACATTTCTATCCATTTTATTTTTAAATAATGCCAGAACTAGCAGACTCTCTGCTCACCTAAGTGGCCTGTCCTGGTGTTGAATCATCCTCCGCTCTGGAAAGACCCTCTTTTCTCATTCGGTATCTCCTGTTGTAGGTCCCCATTGCTCTGCAGCTCCGTGGAGGTGTGACAGAAACGGCCTGTCCCCTAGGCAGTACGAGGTGCTGTACTAGTACTAGGTATCTAGCTCGTGCATTTGGACAATTTCCTCAACATTATGTCAACGGCGGCTTTCAGTCCTCTGCTCATGGCCAGAAGAAACCAGACTGCCAAGGCATGTGAGGTCATGGCCATGCCCACCGCCTCCCCGGCTCCCGATTTCCATACGACGGTGGAGTGCAAGGAGACGTTTCCACTACGAATCATTTTTGCAACGAGCTTTTATTACTTTCTGAAAACCCATATAAGAAAGACACTTAAAAAGAAAATATCCTCACCACGAACACTTGCACACTGAGCGACACGACCAGAGAAGGCACTACCAGCAGTTACACCCACCTCTGCGGGGGAAGGGGCGCACGACACAGCCTTGTTTCGGAGGGGCAGACCTCTGCAGAGTCCTGGGTCTAACTGTGCTTTAGACAAACTGAACTCTCATTGTTTTCTTTGTTCATAAACACCCTTATCTCTGTATATATAGCTATATGCCTTTATGTGTATGTATATATATATATATACATGACTTTTTTTTTTCCTTCTCAAAAATAAAATAGATACCCCCTGAGGGAGGTTCTCAGCAGCATTAACAGCGGTTGCAGCAGGAGCCATGCCTTCTTAATGTTAGAGACATGCAGGAGGAGGGAAAAGGACTCTCTACCTGCCCTTTTAATACACAGCAGGGAGAGGAGCTTTTTATAAGCGAGGGTAGTGATAAGGCTGGGCATGAGATGGCAAGTAACCAGGGATTCTGTGGTTTAAAAATCTTTTCAAGTTGCTACTTTCCATTGCTTTTGCAGCTCTGAAGACTCGCATAGTTTGAGTGACAAGGGATCCGCATTCCTCCCAGGACCGGGGTGGTGTGGGCTAAGCATCGGTCAGGGAGGGGACTTGGAGACCACACAAAGAAGCTGGGGCTTGAACTAACCCGAGGACTTGGGAAGGCAGAGGACAGCAAAGAAATAGTCTTTCAGAGGCCAGATGGGAAAACTGGCCCTGCTTTGAGAAATACAAGTCCTTTCTCTGCATGGGAGAGTCTTTGCCATCTTGCCCACTTGCTAGAATTGTCTGGCTAATTTAAATTTGACTCCATGTAAGGAGCCAGTGCAACTGTTGAGTCAGGAATCTGATCCTCCCTGTCCGTGTGGTCTGACATCATCTCTTGGAAGTCAAAGCCCAGGGGCTCTGATGAGAAGGAGGTGTGCGTCCCACACCCCGTTTGGAGGGCAGCGTCTGGCCTGGTCTCCCACATTGCCGTTGTCCGCTTCCTGGCGGGAGCCAGCAAACAGCAGAGCCTCAGGCGAGCATGCCCTGCGCCTATCTCTCTCTGAAAACAAAAAGGCACTGAGGTCAACAAGGAGGCCAGGCTCACGGGCTCCTGAGCACAGTGCATGGCCTGGCCCGTGCTTCGGAACAGAGGGAATGCAGGTTGGCTGAGGTGGAGTGTCCCCTCTGTGATCAAGGCAACTCCTCGGGCAGCACCTGGAGATCCCAGAGTCTTTGTGGGAGGAGGGAGGCAGTGCTGGAGGCCATGAGGGAAGCCCAGGTAGCCTGGGCCCCATTGCGCGCCCGGGCTGGGAGGGCAGCAGACAGCTGGGACACAATTCCTGCCTTGCTCTTTGGCTTCTCTTACTGCCAGATTTCCCCACTCAGCAGGAGCCTCTTCAAATGGTAGATGGCTGGTTTCCCTTTGGTGGAAACATGTGAAAATGATGGCAGTACTAAATCCAAACATGCAACTTAAAAACAAAGAGTTTGTGGACAGGGATTGACTAAGAACCATGTAGATGCAGACATTGGCCTTTGGGTTTGCATGTGCACAGTCTTTTGGGCAATGAGGGACAGGGCCAAGGGAGGCTGCAGCTTCTCTGGAGATCTCTGGGCCAGCCTCGGCTTTCGTGCCCCCTATCCTGAGCATTCAGGCCAGTGGCTTTAAGACCGTTCCATAAGCACAAACAGTGGGCACCAAGGGGCCATGGGAACAACTCTTTTAAGAGCATTATCCTGTTTTGAGGGGCTTAGCTCAGACCTGCTGAAGGAATATGCTACAACATTTGACTCATAAATAAAGGTACTGTAGGCGGCAAATAAGACAGAAACTGAAGAATCAAAGCCAGAGAAAGACCGTTTAGCTCTAAAATCTTTCTTCCTTCCTTTGCCAGCTGTTGTGACAGGTGATTTGGTGACAAGAGAGGCAACTGGTCAGTGAAAGGCTTGCAGACGGAGAGGGGACGGCGCTGTCCACTTCACACGGTACTGATCCTTGGCAGAGTGAGTCTGTTGAGGGCACAGTCCAGGGGTGGACAGGACTCAGCCCCGGCACCACACCTGTCCAGAGAAGAGACTTTGTGCCTCTTTTGGAACAGCTGGGCGGGAATGGATGCACCCGCCAGAGAGGTCCTGAGAAAAAGTGTCTGTTGCCAAATAATAATTAATAATAAAAATAAATCCGAGGGCATTGGCAGGAGGGGATGTAAGACCAGTTACCCAGGTTGGCCCTGGGATTCCCTTAAGGCCTCTTCCAGTTTCTGCCTAAACTTGTCATACTTCTTCTGCACCTGCTGGATTTTGTCCTGCTCCTCCTTTTCCAGGATTGTTAGGAAGTTCTGGAGTTCAGGGATGGAGAAGGCATCCCACTGGGAGGCGAGAGGGAGATTTAGAGGGAGAGACAACAGAAGACAAGTTAAAAGTCGGCATGGCCCGAGAGTCCTGCTGCCCCCTTCACTGGGTTCCCATCAGTGATTGACCGTGCTTGGCCACTGAAGGGCAGCTACAATGAATGGCGTTTGAGTTTCATGGCACCTGCAGCCAACATGAAAATACCGGCATCTCATACCACACGGAACCAGTCCCTGATTGGTTTGATTTTGACACTCAATAATCGTAAGCTTCCTCTGAAGCAGTGAGATCTTGAGACCCGGCTTGAAGGCTGCCTCCTCTCTCCAGCTGTGAGACCTTGGGCATGTCGCACCCTTCTCAGCCTGTCTTCTCCTTTGCCTTGCAGTGTGGTGCCCACCTCCTCCCTCCATGACTGGCAGAGCAGATGCTTAGAGAGCCATCAGCAGAAGCTGGGGAGCCTGGCTGGCTCAGGCCTGCCCGGGAGGCAGACTCAGATAAGCTGGTGACTGAGGGGGCGAGGAAGAGGCGCCTATGCTCTCGGCGTGTAAAAGAGCATCAAGGCTTATGGAGGTGAGTCCCCACGCTGGGTCAACGAGAAACCCGTGTCTGTAGGTGACAGCCAGTGTGGCCGCAGTCACAGTGCCTATAGCAGCAGAACTAGAACCTGAACTAGCACCTGTGTCTCCAAACCCCCAGCCATGAGCTTTCCAGGGCAGCAGTGTTTGCACATTTGTCCTGGTATATTTTTCCTAAACATGATCTTTACAGACTCCATTAAGTTAAAAGGAGCAGAGCTGGCTCAGGTGAAGGAGGAAGGACAGAGCCCCTCCTGCCTAGAGCCTCCACATCTCCACAGCAGCCCCCAAGCCTGCTCTTCAAATGTGAGGCCTTGGGACCAGCAGTTAGCGTAATGGCTATGTCGCTGGACTCCCATGTAGTCGACCACGGTTCAAGTCCCGGACCCGGTGGCTTAAACTCATGCCAGGCGCGTGTGCGTGTGTGCCCAAGATCCCAAGAGGAGAAAGGAGGAGAAGGGATTGCGGCATAGCCATCCTCCCTGGGGGGTGATTTCTCGCTTTCTGTCTCTATGTCTTTCTTTGCCTGTCTGGCGAGCGCACGCGCCCTATAGCAAAAACCTCTCCAAAAAAAAAAAAAAAAAAAGCGAGGCCTTTA